ACAGTTTTACTTATAGAAATTTATAAATTACAAATAGCGATAGGTATAAATATTAAATAGCAAAATACCCTTAGAAATATATTAAGCTTAAAAGTGGACTGACCTTCTCGGCCCATAATCCTGAATTCTGAACTATACTGTTTAAAATATAGAATGATTTATCTAAACTTAAACATTTTGAAGATTATTTTACTTCTTATGGAACTATTGATTATTATTATATGATTATTTCACTCATATTCCTCTATTTTAATAAAAAATATAGGTAGGTACCGTAGGTATCTAGTATATATAATTGATTAAACTTTACTCGCTACTGCCTACTAGAATATATGCTCCTAAATATTTAATTTAACAAAATATAAAAATTTTACGTACCTTATATTTAAATTTTTTTCCTATTTTCCTAATTAGTTATGTGAATTATAAATTATATACACAACCTGTTATCGAAATGTACAGTAATCCATTTAATCCTTCAAATTCAGCTTTATAATATAAATCCCAAATATCATCACAGTATGATACAATGAAGATCGAAACCATATCTAAAGTTTAAATCAAATTAAACTCATTAGCTGTATTATAATATAATCTCATTAGGTAAGTATTCCAAATATCGTGTAAATTATGTATTGTAAAATTTAAATTCAATTTTACATGAATTGTTCGAGGTTCGTCTAAAAAAGGTTACATACAGGTGCTCTCAAATACTATATGGCATATGCAATTGAAATTCAGTTATTATCAGGATTCGCATTTTATAGATTGACTATAGTTGCCGTAATTACGGGGGGGGGGGGAGGATTTATAATACAAATATTATACAATTTGATTTTGCTTTACCTCTCGAAAGTTTAATGTTAGTTTTTGTATAAACGTCAACAGACACTCCAGCTTGTTTAAATACATCTTGCTTTAATTTGTAAATGTGCCTATTAATGGTATTCCAAATTTCATTATTTTTACTTGCAGTAAACTCTGGGTTTATGATTATAGCTAAGTTTAATAAAATAATTCACGAAAATAAATAATAATTATTTATAATATAATTTGACATGAAAAATTTTTTTTTATTACTTACCAACTGTGTCGTTATTCCTTGGACCTGTGTCAACGTTGTAAATATTGAGACCATTGCAAATAGTAATGATGAGAATATTATGCACTATAATATATACTGTGGTTAAGATCATCATGTCTGGACGTCCACCAGCCGTTATAAGTTTTACTTTTAAAAACCTGACTCAAAACTACTTTCTTTCTTTATACTACCTATCGAAAAAATAATCGAATATTAAATCAAGTAACTGTCGGTTTGTCATATTTCATTTCAGTAGCTTCTATAATTTTAATTTTCGTTATTGTTTATACTGTTATTGAACATAAAATCATGTAATATTATATATCATATGAACATTACCTACGATCACGCAAGGTAGGTATCTATACTACACACGAATGTTTGTTGAAAAAAAGTCATATCATAGGGTAGTTTCGTTCACCTCTAGAAACTAGGTCATGTAAATAAATAAACTGACAGAGACATCCTCTTTAATGAGCTTACCAAACAAATAAATCATTAATATGAACATTGTAAATTATAAGAAGGCAGTATAAATACCTACCTAATTGAAATATTGTAGTGCCTATAGCAGTATCTATATTTAATATTTATACTATACACCTATAAATAGTGAATGATCGCAAAGATTTTTACATTTCCTACAGTTATCAGTTATCAGTTATCAGTTATAAGTTATAACTAATAAGTGTTATGTAGGTTAGAAATTATGTCTGAAATTATGGCATTATGACTAACATAATATACTAAATTCTATATTTCTATTGAATAGTAGCTAACCTATCTTTCAAATAGGCGACTTTGTCTTCATGTTTTGATTCTTAATGTCATTTGATATTAATTTCTTTAAAATTGAAATCGTTTCACAACACACAAGACAAACAGCTTTTCCATTAATTTCAATGATTTATTGACCATTTTTCGTTGAAAATTCGTCAGTCATTGAACTTGCGTTTTTTTCTATCGAACATTTTTAAATATTAGTTTCACGATTTAATACAGCATAATAATGTTAAAATCTTTATTTATTGTTTAAATATCCTATATCATCAAAATTAGAACTTCAAATGTCTATAAAAAAACTTTACAAGTATATGTTCAATAATTTTAAATTGCTTTTGGTATGCATGGATTATTAGGAGCCTTGAATTAATTTTTTTAGTTTCTTGGCCTAATACAAACATCGTTGTTATTCTATCGATACTTTGAGTAATGAGTTGTCCTATGTTTTTTTGTTAATTTTACTATTATAATATGTACCTATACCTACTATGTTTCAATATTATATAATGTATAGTTTGTTTGAACTTTGAACTTTTTTATATATATTTGACTTTATTTTGAAGAACTACAATCTATAATTTTTGTACAATAAGTAATATTAAGAACTTTAAACTTATAAAAGAAATAAGAAAATTAGAATCTCTATTAATCTACAATTATGTGAACAGGCAAAAATTAATGCAATACGTAGTCTTTAAGTAGGAAATTATTGTGTCCCCTATTTGATTTATAATTGTATATTATTAATCAATAACTGTCTTCTAAATGGTTTGATAATAAGTTTGAAATATTGTATTAGTACGGGCATCAGGCGTACTGTTATTTATAAGTTTTAAACTTAGGGATAATTTTTACCTATTCCACAATGATACTGTCTAAAAATAAAATACAAATATCACCATAGAACCAATAAGTACTTAAGTAGTTAGATACCTACATCTATTTAAAATCCAAAATAATAATGATAATAATTAATAATGCCAATAATAGATAGGTAGGTACCTAATTTGTAGTTAGCACCTACCCTAGCAAACATTTACACGGATATACAACATATAATATCACGTATACTTTGAACTAAATCTACGTATATTATACGTTAATATTTAGTTTAAAAATTGTTTAATTATGGTATATTTTTGAGTTAAAAGACAGATATTTGACTAATATTATACGTTTAATAAACATTGACCTTATCAAGTTTATACGTATATTGATCATATAACTTGCGTATAGATTAAGACAAAACATGTTTATTTTCGTTTAAAATTAGTATTTATATAAATATTGACCACGTTTATTTTCCATGTAAAACTGGTATAGATGCACGTATTTTGTACGTTTATCTTTGGTATATGACTGGTATAGAATCCAATATTTTCTACATATTTTTTTTTTCGTAGAAGACTGGTATGGATAAAAATACTTATCTATCAAGTTTAAATTGTTTTTATAAAATCGATGACTGGCGCAATAAAAAGTATACATAATATTACCAATAGGAACCAAATCTTGTATCATAGGTAGGTACCTACTATTATGTACCTTCTATTAGGTGAGTACATACTCTAACTTGTAACTAGACTCCGAAACCATTAGTTATTACTGAAGTATAGGTACTCACTACTCAATGCATAATATGATACCTATAGGCTATAACTGAACTACCTTTTTGAGATACGACCTAAGTCTATGAAAGGTAATTCAGAGAAAACAAGAAAAAACTGTTTTTACGATATCGGTGATACATGGTTATTTATCTTTCATACTGATTACTTACAGTGGTAAAATCATCGAGATAGATAAACAATACGTATTGTGTATTGTTTATCTATCTCGATGGGTAAAATTTTTTTTTTTTTTTTTCTTTATTAGTAATACACAATCTGTACACAATCGGCACAATAAGAGTATGAGCTGAGACACAATAAAAAAACATGAAATTATGAGCTAAGAAGCCACCCACCGATGACACTTATGT